CCCCTGCAGCCGGTGAGGTATCCTGAACACGGACACCAGGTAGGCAGCACAGTTTTTGGAACTCTTGATCCTGGCCACAGAGAATAATGTCTATTCCCCTGATTACGCTACCCCCAGTTACAACTATATTTCTTTTTTCTGCATCCCTCCCCACCCTCTTGAAAGGCTCCATGTACCATGGTACTGCGGCCAGTTTGTTCATCCTCCCAACAGCCCACACTCTTATCCACACAGAGAGCACAAAGTCCAGGGCTAAGACTCCTTCAGCAACATCTCCTGCGTCCCTCTTGTCTCACTCGTAGTCATACCCTCTTATCCCTGACGTTGACCATATTTAAAGCAGTTAATCTTAGGGGTGTGATTGCCTCCTGAAAGACAGGGTCCAGGGAAATTATGTCCCCGCACTTTGATATGTGGCAGTGTTTAGAGCTCAGACTCCAGCTTATCGACTCTAAGCAACCAATGCTTGCGGTAGATGTGGTCACTGTGAACCACAGTGGGGCCCTGGCATTAAATTAATTATGTATTAGTTTGATTTTCAACATTTTATACTGAAAAAACATCCACCATTGGTGGGGAGACTAATTGAGCACGCTCAAGGAGCTGGAATTAGGCAAGTGCAGGATTGTGTGGCTGGCAGAGACTACAGAGGTGGGCATGTTCACTGTCGTGGAGGGATTTCAAAGCAAGGACAGGAAATTTAAAATGCTTTTTTTCTGAACTGGCAGACTTCTTAGGTCAGTGAGCTCCGGGTGAGGAGAACAAGGCTCAGGGTGAGTGAGCACAGGGGCAGCCTGTGTATTGGATGAGCTCAATATTACAGGGGGGTTGAAAGTGGGAGGTGAATCAGGAGTGTATGAGGGTCCTTCAATCTCGAGGTTACAAGCACTGAATGGGATTTTCAGCACATGGAGCTGAGACTGTGCTGGAGTCAGGCCATGTCACTGAAAAGGAAATAGAATGTCACGGTACGGATGTGGCTCTGTGGTTGAAAGCTTATCTCCAAGTCAGATATTGCACCAACATTGCAAAGAGCCGGGTTTAAACAGTTATCAGAGCGAGCTATGCAGTTGGAGTTAGGAAGTTTGTAACAGGGACTGAAGCCAGTAGCTATCAGTGAACAAAGGATCAGGAGTAGGCCATTTAGCTCCCCGAGCCTGTTCTGCCATTGAGTGAAATCATGGCTGGTCTGTGGCCTAACTCCATAAACCTGTTTGTGGACCATATCCCTGAACATCCTTGCTGATCATAAGATTATCTATCTCCGATTTACAACTAATAACTGAGTGATTGAGCATCAACTGCTATTTTTGGAAGCAAGTTCCAAACCTCTACGATGTTTTCAGCGTAGAAGTGATTCCTAATATCTCTCCTGAGCAGTCTTGCCCTAATTCTCAGACTATGCCCCCTACTTCTAGATTGAATTGGAGGACATTTATATGTGAATTGGAGGGAGCTTCAAGGTGATGATAGACATATACGTCTGCTCCCCTGGTCCTCCATGGTGGTGGAAGTGACTGGTTTGGGAGGTTTTGCTAATGACACATGATACATGGAGGCAAATGGTGAGGATGACATAACGAGACTACAGAGGGATAGAGACTGGTTATGCAAGTAGACAAAAACTCAGCAGATGGAATATTATGTGGGAAAAATGTGTATGTATTTTTGCAGGAAGACTAAGAGGTGAATATTATTTAACTGGGGAAAAACACTGCAGAAAGCTGCAGCACAGACAGAATTATGGATCTGTGTGCTTGAAAGATGAAAAACTAGCATCCAAGTTCAGCACATAATCATATCATAAAATCCCTTTGGCCCATCAAGTCCACACCGACCCTCGGAGCATCCCACCCAGACCCATCCCTGAACGCTACGGGATCTTTAGCATAGCCAGTGCACTTAGCCTGCACATCTCTAGACTGTGGGAGAAAACCCGCAAACATGGGGAGAATGTGCAAACTCCACACAGACAGTTGCCCGAGGCTGGGATCGAACCCGGGTCCCTGCTGTTGTAATGCAGCAGAGCCACCACGTTGCAGTGGTAATCAAGTAGGTAAAAAGTCTGTTGGCCTTTATTTCAAAGGGAATGGGGTACAAAAATAGAGAATATGCTAAAACTGTACAGGACATTAGTCAGATCCCACCTGGAATACTGTGAACAGTTTTAGTCACCCGGAAAGGCAGTCTATAGAATGTTCAGAGAATTGATCCCAGACGTGGGAGGATTTTCTCACTGGACGAAAGGAAACCTCATTGAAAGATATAAGATTATTGAGGACTTGACAGGATAGATTCAGAGAGATTGTTCCTCCTTGTTTGAGAGTGTAGGAGCAGAGGACATAATCTCGGATAAGGAGTCACCTATGTAAGACTGAAATGAGGAATCTCTTCTCTCGGGGTGAGGTACAAGATACTGAATTTGTGGAATTACTTGCTGCAGAGGCTGGGTTGCTCAGTGTATTCAAGGCTGAGATAGAGATTTTTAATCCGTAAAGGAAACAAAGGTTAGGGGATAAGACAGGAAAGTGGAGTTGAGAATTATCAGATCAATCCTGATCTCATTGAACAGCAAGAGCAGACTTGATGGGTTGAATTGCATACTTGTGCTCCTATATCTTTTTGTTTGTTTTTCTGGTTTTTCTCTCACTGCCGTTTTTCTATTTTCAACCAATTTCACAGGGCATTAGAAGAGGAAGAGTTCCAGTGGGGAGACTTGAAATCAAACATCACTTCAGGATCTGACGGAGTCGCCCAGTTTATTGTAACCCGAATGTCATTTGATTTTGAACATGGAACGAAACAGCACCATTCACAGTGGGGAGAAACTGTACACGTGTTGTATGTGTGGACAAGGCTTCAGCAGATCACCTGCCCTGTCACAGCATAAATACAGGCACACTAGGGAGAGGCCATTCGTCTGTTCTGAGTGTGGATTCACGCAATCATCTACCCTGCTGAAACCCCAGCCAGTTCACACAGAGGACAGACCGTTTAAATGCTCAGACTGTGGGAAGTGCTATAAAAGCTGTGGTGCCCTAAAGCTGCATCAACGTGTTCACACTGGCGAGAGACCCTTCAGTTGCTCTCATTGCGGGTCTGGATTCAAGCAATCATCTGACCTCATTGAACACCAGCGGATTCACACTGGGGAGAGACCATTCACCTGCTCAGAATGTGGGAAGACATTTGCTCGGAAATCCACCCTACTGAAACACCACCAAGTTCACACAAGGAAGAGACCTTATAAATGCCCAGACTGTGGGACATGCTATAAAAGATCTGGGGACCTGATGTTACATCAACGTGTTCACACTGACGAGAGACCATTCGGGTGCTCCCACTGTGGGGCTAGGTTCAGGCGGTCATTCCAACTCACTGTACACCAGCGAACGCACACCGGGGAGAGGCCATACACCTGCACTGAGTGTGGGAAGGGATTCGCTCAGAAATCCAGCCTGCTGAGTCATCAGCGAATTCACACGGAGGACAGACCTTTTAAATGCCCAGACTGTGGGAACTGCTACAAAAGTTCTGGGGTTCTGATGTCCCACCAACGTGTTCACACTGACGAGAGACCATTCAGGTGCTCCTACTGTGGGACTGGATTCAGGCAATCATTCCAACTCACTGTACACCAGCGAACACACACTGGGGAGAGGCCATACACCTGCACTGAGTGTGGGAAGGGATTCACTCAGAAATCCAACCTGCTGCGTCACCAGCAACTTCACACAGATGAGAGACCCTTTCAATGCCCAGACTGTGAAAAGTGCTTTAAAAGATCTGGGGACCTGATGTTGCATCAACGTATTCATAGTGATGAGAGACCGTTCAGCTGCTCTCACTGTGGGGCTGGGTTCAAGTGGTCAACCCAACTCGCTGTACATCAGCGATCTCACACTGGGGAGAGACCGTACACCTGCACTGGTTGTGGGAAGGGCTTCACTCTGAAATCCAGCCTGTTGAAACACCAGCGAGTTCATGAGCATTGACAGTGACTGATATGTTCACAGTAAAAAACAATCCCTGCTTTGTAGTGTCCCTCCCTCTCTGCAAGAAGGTCTGGATGACAATGAAACCAAACCACTTCTTAAAATCTCTAATGTATCTTAGTGCTCTTTAAAGTGATCTATTTTTTGATTGCAGGACAAGGGTTTTGTTGTTAATCACATCCAGGATACAACTATGTTCATTGGGGTCTTTTTGTGCTGATCTTTAAAAATTCCATCTGATTTATAAGTGTTAATGAAGGGATAAAAAGACAATTATATCAGGTTTGTGGGAAACACACAGCCTGCTGAAGCTTCCTAAAGCCTTTTTAGCACTTTCTTTTGAAGTGTTTGCCCTTTCTATCACCTCCATGTTGTCAGGAGCTCATGGAGCTTCTTTGTCATTTGGATTGATACAGTCTGATCATCTGTCTCTTCCATGTCCCTCTTTTCCCTGAAACTGTCTCTGAAGTTACACCTTGTCTAAGCCCTGAACTGTCATCTTTCCCTGGTTCCTGTCCTACCTCTAGAGCTCCCCATGTTCATGAGACACACCACCTAGCTCCTCAACTCTCTTTCGACTCAATCACTGGGCATACAATCTCTACTTTTTTTTTGTGAGTTGCTCTTAGACAGTCCTACTTGCATTGGTGTACCTGGTGACCGTTTTGGTGCCCTCAAAGACAGTGTGTTTGACCTGCTCACTGGGCAGCAGAAGGCAGACGGTGCTCCAGGTCGTTTTGGAGGACAGCATCTACCACGGTGTAGTGGAACAGGCGGGAGGCCTTGGGTGGAGATGCCTGTTTGCTGATATTGTTGACAGTTCTTGCTTTTGTCTGTTACAGTCCCTCTCCCTTCTAAATCCTTTTGAAAATCAACCTTGACCTCACCTCCAAATTCCCTTTCCCCTCCAAAGATCTGGAACGTGTTGCCCCCCCCCTTCCACCAAAGGAAGTATTCCTGGCTCCTCCTATTCTCATCTCATCAAAAGCCACTATGTTAGTTTATGCACATCCATTGACATCACCCAACTCGACCCCCATCCCCACCTCTCCATTCCTCCACTGTTGCTAATTTATCAGACTTTGTCGTCCACATTCCTGGAATTCTGAAATTCACTGCTTAATTTTCTTCCCTGACGACCACGTCCATCTGTTTGCAAGATAACTCAGGATGAAACGCACTGTTCGCAATCTAGATCTCATGTTTTACCATGCTGTGCTCCTGACCGCTGGATAGTTCAAATTCCCGTGGAGTGTTTTTCCCTTGATTCCTACTGACTGCATTTTTTTTTTGCAAGATCTCTTGATGTTAAGAGCAGTCAGTCTCACCGTACCTCTAACTTTATGTTCTGTCCATGTTAGACTAATGCTGAAATGAGATTAAGATCTCAGTGGCCCTGGTGGAACGCACAACATCAGTGAGCAGGTTACTTGCTGAGTGAGTAGTACGTGATAGCACTGTTATTGCTGCTTCCATCACAATACTGATGATGGAGAGTGAATTAATAGGATGATAATTGTTGGGATCGGCTTGTCCTGATTTTCGTGGACACAGCCGGGCAATTCGTTTCCTTTTAATTTGTTGTGTCAATATAAATTTTTAGCTGCACTGGACCAGCCTGGCGGGGACAGGGCCCTGAGTAGGACAATCATTCCCCAGCATATTGAATGCAACAGCAGGCTCGAATAGCTAAATGCAGAAGTTGCTGGAAATGCTCTGCAGCTCTGGCATCATCTGTCAAGAAAGAAATTCAGAGTTAAAGTTTCGGGTCCGGTGACCCTTCCTCAGGGTCACCGGAACCAAAACATTGACTCTCATTTTTTTTTTCTTCACAGATGCTGCCAGACCTGCTGATCTTTTCCAGCAACTCATGTTTTTGTTCCTGATTTACAGCATCCGCAGTTCTTTTGGTTTTTATTGGAAGAGATAAACAGCCTGCTCCTGTTCCTACGCCAACAGAAAAAGCACATAAAAAGGCACTTTGACTCATGGATTCTGCAGCTAGATCATCCTCTCACACTCTGGCTAAAGATTCTTGGAAATCTTTTGCACTGATACGCTGGACTCCCGCTCTACCCCACTCCCTCCACCCCACCCCACCCCACCTCACACCTGACAGAGACAGTGTGTGAGGTGAGTTGCTCCTTTACAGTTTGTTTTGTTCTGAATAAGAACAGCGCGAACCCTCTCTAACCAGTCCGCATTGTCATCAGAACTCAGCCCTGCCCCATATTCTCTCCGATTATTTGGAGGACCAGCTTCTTCGTTTGGTCCTCCAGCCTTTTCAAAGCCTTTGCATATTGGTCAGAAGTTGCTGTCAATCACTGGGAGGACTAACAATGTGCGGTGCATGTTGGAAACGAGATGCAGTGCTCGCGGTATCGGCTGCTGGGTGAGTGAGAAGGAGCAGGAGGATCGTTTCGATGGCAAGGTTCAGAAACACTCAATATG